TAGGTACTCATGGTTTGGGGCCAGATGGGTTCTCGCACCATTGTTCCTTCTTTTCCCCTTTAAAACATAACTGGTTTCTTCTTTAAAATCTTCCTTTGCTTTTTTGTTAGAGGTTCTCTCTGGAATCTCTATTACCATATCATTCCTTTACTGCATCTGCCTTTCCCCCCATTTTTGTCTTTCTCTTAAGCACTTTTCTTTAAAACACAGATCCTGAAAGGGATCTGAATCCAGAATTAACTTAGTTGCTGAAAGTAAACACGTGAAGGAGGATAAACTTCTAAATAAAATTGGACAGAATTTATCCTCACATTTGCAACTTTTTAGTATACTGACAAAAGGTAGACTTAGCTTGTGTTAAAAAACCCTTTTTTTTTCCTTTTTGCCATCTTTCTGGCCTTTTGTGCCTGAGCCAGGGTTGGAAAAGATCTTAAGAGTCCTCTCCTGCTTATCTCAAATCTACTTGTTTTGTTGAAGGGTAGTTATTTCTAAGCTTTCTAATCTTAACACACGTTCTATAAATATTTTATATATAAGCTCTAGAATTTGTCCATCGCCTAAAAAAAAAAAGAAATGAACAAACTCATCTGAGTGGTCACTTCTATCTTTAGTTAAAGACAAGGCTGAACACCAGTGCTTTAATCCTCTGTTCCATAAGCTTCTTGAAGTCAAAATTAGAACCTGAGCTGATAGAGCAGAAAATCTCATTCTGGTTGTCCAGCATTTTTGTGAGGTTCCACCCCACAGCCATCTGGCCTGGCCTGTTCTCCAATTAAAGAGGCAAAGGTGGCATTATATACTTCCTTATTTGTGCGGCAGCGTCACTGAGGTATAAAGTGGTGTGCAGCTTCAGCTGCTTATGCAGCAGAAAATGGTTAGCTTAGGCAGGGCTGATGACAGTGGTTCTATTGTATGTTGGGGTGGGAGGCTTTATTTCCCAATGACTTTGGCCTGCATTTAAAATGCTCCCATTTTGAGGCTGAACTGTTCAGGGGAGGTGAACTTGGAAGGCAATTATGCAGCAGAGTTTGAGGAGGCCTAGAAAGGTGTAAGAACCCTTGGGTCTGGGTAGCATACCAAAAGGCCATGTGATGCCTTGGGAGAAGTGTTATATGTTATTATCTATTCAAGTCTGTTTTACTTTTCAAAAACATTTTGAAAACACTGTCTTTAACTCCAAACTCATTCTTGAGAACCAATGCCAACTTTCTTCACAATGTTTTAGTCTCCTCTGTGTTGGACACCTCTAGTGGGCTGCTGTGGCCCTTACAGACCTGCCTTCTTGAAGGGGAGCCTGAGGTCCTGGTGGCGAGCTTTGCATTTGGTAATGAACCCAATCCTCATAAACAGAAAACCCCTTATCTTGACCATTCTTCTTACTTCTCTTTAAACCTAGAAGGACCCTGGAATCGATCTGCGGTGACCATGAGTAATCATTTGAAGGACCTTGGAGATGAGTCTGTGTTGGAGGCTGGGATAGAGGGCAGACGAGAGTCCTTCTGAATCCTGAGCATCTCTGTGGAGGGCTTGGGAGAGGTCATGCTCGTGGCACGTCCGTTGACTCCCCACGTGACCCTCTGTCTGCTCAGACCTGAAATGACGGCAGGACTAGACCTAGCTAGTGTGTATGATGCTCCAGGTTGACCCAGTGCATCTTTTCTGATACTCAACCCAGAGGGCTTTGCTTGAGGATCCACTCCTAAAAATGCCCCTGGGAGCCATGGCCCAGGCCTGAAAATTACAGAGAAGTGAGTTGAGGCAGGTATTCAGAAAACTCATGATTCTCAAACCTAGAATTAGCCCCTGGATACTCTGCTGGGCCCTGAAGGGATTTTAATCAAATTCCAGCCCCAGGTCTATCAAAGGACAGAGGATGCCGTTGGACCGGATCATGGATCAGTCTTGTCTCTGTGCTAAACTCAGCAGCACAGTCTCACCCAGACGTCTGGCTAAGACCATGTTCTGGCCTTTTTGGCCCGCAGAGGTGGCCTTTTCCGTTCAGTTCTCCCACAGCGTGAGCTTGGAGTTGCCCTTTTGGAGAAAGTGAGGAGATTAGGGTCACTGGCTCTCAGGATTCACAGATCGTCTTCCTCAAACATGAGGCTGGCCCAGAACTCGGGAATAAACCTTTTTGACCTCTGTGCAATCTGGCTGTGAGAGAATCCCAAAATAACAATCTGAGTGTTTATCTTGGGCTGCCTCCTCTCCAGGGATCTCCAAACACTTGATAAATCTGATCCGGTTCCAAGGACAGGTGGTCAGACAGTCCCTGGGAGACTGGGTGATGGTGGATCCCCAGTTGGAAGCTGCAAGGTGATGGAAAATTTCTTTTCTCTGCCCCCCTCTTCACCTTCACTGTAGCCAGAAACTAGAGATTCCCCCAGGCCACGCTAGCAATGTTCTGAAAGTTTTGTTGGCAGACAGGAGCCTCCAAGCCCTCTCCTTTCCTCTGCTTCCCTGGGGCAGCCCCCAGTCAAGTGTTCCATTCTTGGCCCAGGTCCCTGGTTGTGACAGATCTTGACTTTTTCCTGCCGATCATGCTCTTATCTTTATCCTTGGAGGCTGTCTGCATGGCAGTGCTCACCTTGGTTACACTGTGCAGTTAAATATGTTCTGCAAACCCAGAGCTAGAGTGTATACACACCTGGAGAGCCCAGGATGACAAGAATGTGATTGGAGTCCAGGCCCCCCACTTGAAAAGTTGGCAGTGCTACTTCCTATTCAGTGACCTGTATCCCTTTCCATTTGAGGAGGAAAATTAAAGATTTTAAACTCACGTCTTGGCCTGTGACAGTTTGGGAGCACAGTTTCACCAAGATACCGCAGAGACAAGTTAGTAGGAGCCTTCCCTTCTCCAGCTGAATTAAGGGCTTGATTTTTTTACATGTCAGTCGTCCAGTGATCTGAATTCTCAATACCACAGCATCCCTATTGCTTTATAGTTACTTTAAAAATAGTAGCTAATTTTATTGAGTACCTACTAAATACCAGGTACAGAGTGAAGTGGTTTACATTCTTTTTTTTTTACATTTTTATTGGGGAATTGGGGGGATAGGAACAGCACTGGGGAATTGGGGGAAGGAGAACAGGCAAGTTGCTGTTGTTTTGTTCTTCAGTCTAGTTGTGGAGGACATTGCTTCACTGGCCCAAGTTGNCCCTCGAGAAGCCCGCTTCTCCCCCTGTGCTCCATTTCCCCTCCTCAAGCTCGCTCTCATTCTCGGGTACCCCAGAGCCACCCTATCTCCCTCGTTCAAGCATGGCCCCCTCCTGGGTGGGGTGCATTTCCTCCCATGTCCGCCTCCCTCAGTTTTTCATATCCTAGAGACTCGCTAGGTTTTCCTTGTTCCCCAAAAAAACATAGCTCTCACCACCATTAAATAAATCAGGAAGGAAGGGGATCCAAGCCTTGTTTCTCTGCTTTTTTTCCCGTGTACGGGGAAATGGGGTGGTAATAATTAATAGGGTTTATGTCGGGCCCTGTGAAGCCTGAGGGATGAAGGGTGGACACCCCCCTCTTGGACCGGTCACTGGTGACTGGCCTCTGACCTCTGAGCCAGAATTCACCATTTGGACTTAAGCTCTTTATCCTCTTTAGTGTTTTCAGGGTAAACTGAGCCAAAAAAAAAAAGTACCCTTAGAGCAGCCATACCAATAAGTGGATTCTGGTTGGTCCTGGTGTGGTGCCTGGGAGGACGAGCCCTGCTCCTATCCTAAGCTCCTTCTCCTCCTGTGCAGTGGATGGACTGTGTGCCCTTGACCAGAAAGGGAGGGGGAAGGAGGGAGCAGACAGAGGAAGGGAAGCTGGCAGGCCTTCTCCAACCACCTCCCCCAAGGAATCAGAACCCCACATAGCAGGCTTCAACTTGGGGGCCAGCAAAGGGGGTCTTGGGCTCTTGCTCTGCATGCTTTTTCTCCTTCCGATCCACCCTACCCTGGGAGTGGGTCCCTCATCTTTGATTTTCCAGCAGAAAAACACCCCTATTGCTTTCGTGGGCACCTGCCCCCATCCCCCTCTTAAGCAGAGGGAGAGAGAAGCTTGTGTGGGAGGAAGGATTAGGGAGGTTTAACACTCTGTAGGGGAGCTTTGGCGAGGATCTGGTAAGTCTGGTCATAGAGCAGGCCTTGCAGGGGGAGGAGACTCGAACAATTTTAAGTATTAGAAGATGATGTTCAGGTGTCAGATGTACAGTTTTTCCTTCCTTGCCAGGGAACCTTTTCCCATTTCCCTCACGGGGTCTGGTTACTCGGACTTGGATTAGAAGAGGGGTGAGGCTTGCGCCCTGCTGGCGTCCGGCCTGATTGTCGGCCCGGCTGCCTCCCCGCAGCTTAACTGGGAATTTCTTTGGCCGAGAGGACGGGAGAACTGGGTTTAATTCCTGCTTTTCCTTTCCTGGCTGTTGCCGTGCTGGAGCCGAGCCCGCTGGGCATTAAGTGAAAAGGCTCTTTTCTTTTTGAATCCGCGGTCCCTCCAGCAACTCCAGACAGAGACCACCAAGCCCAAGGAATACAGATTAAGCGGCAGGGGTGGGAATGGGAACGTGACCTTATCTATTCAGCCCACCGCCTTCACCCAGAAAAAACTCATTTTGAAGCAGATCCTTAATTCAGTTGTGGGAGGCGGTGAAGAGAAAGGGAGAAAAAAAGTTCAGCCCCTGGAGAAGCAGCGACATGGATGTGGTGGGGTGATACAATACTGGGAGTAGGCCTTATGGTTAGAATTTATATAAAATGTATTAGGCGGGGGCGGATGGGGGGGTCCTACACAGTGCGCATGTGCATCGGAAACTTTTCCTTGGTCCTCCGACCCTCGGCCAGCTCCCCTTACCGGGCATGCGTAGTCGCCGGCTTAGCCTTCGCAAAGTACGCAGGGAGATGTAGTGTGCAGAGAAAGTAGGTCACTTGCTCCCACCCTAGAGTGAGGTTTCTGAGGACTACAATTCCCAGAGTGCAGAGCGCGACTTCGACTCCAGCCTCTCCACTTAAGTTGGGGCTCAGTCAAGTCTCCTGGCTTCTGAGGAACCTGGAGTGCCCTAGAAAAAGCCTTTTTAGTCGGAAGGAGCCTTGCAGTCAAACTTGGGCTGCAACAGCCCATGTTTGGGGGAGATGTGAGACTGTGGGTGGGGTGGTACATTCAGTCAGCACAAATCCTGGAAGGCTTTCAACCACACCCGCCTGTCTGGGCCGCTGCCTCTAGGTACTCATGGTTTGGGGCCAGATGGGTTCTCGCACCATTGTTCCTTCTTTTCCCCTTTAAAACATAACTGGTTTCTTCTTTAAAATCTTCCTNCTGCTATTCAGCTCCAAACAATTGCCAGCTTGAATGCCCAGAGCTACCAGATTTTTTTTGGGGGGGTGGGGGAACAGACAAGTTGCTGTCATTTTGTTCTTCAATCTAGTTGGGGAGGACGTTGTTGCTTCACTGGCCCATGTTGGTATTGTGATCATTGTGCTCTTCCTGGCTGAGGCAGATCGGCCGATGGCCTCTGGACGGCCGCTCGCTGCAGCTCACGGCAGCTTATGGCAGCCCACTGCAACAGGGGCTGCTGCCTTCATGGCAGCCCAGCTCCAGGTCGAGCTGTTGTTCACCATCTTAGCTGTAGAGGGCAGTGTTACTGGCCCCCATGTGGGATCGGAACCGGGTCCCTGCTGCTCAGAGCCTGTGTTCCAAGCCAGCTCTTAACCAACGCGCCACTTGGCCGGCCCAGCTACCAGATCTTTTGAATTTGGGACAAATGGTGAACTAAGATTTTTGTGCAATCTCCCATTTTTAAATGTTGTCAACCCATTTTAAAAATGTTAATGTGTCATTCTGTGCCAAGGCAATACACTACCAGATATGGACCTTGGCCTGCCATTCAGCAGCTTCTCAATGTAGAAAACTAACTTCCCGGGGAATCAAACTGAATTGTCTAACTTTCAGAGAGACTATATGTCCCTCTGTTTTGACCTGTAGCTCTTTAATAGTAGTTTGAAACTGGGACATAAAGGTGAAAGACCCTTTGCCTTGGTTGGAATTTTCCTGCCTTAAAAAAAAAAGGACTGCTATTCCCATTTTCCCAGTTATTCCGTTCCTTATCAATTCTGTCCCCACTGGCCTATCCACCACTATAAAGACTAAAATTAAAATGTTAACTGCTTCAAACACTGCAGCTTTAGTGTCTTAGCAAAAGACAGGTTAGATCACTTAACTTCTTTCCTACAACTCACATCAGTTGTGATGAATAAACAGCAAGTCATTTGCCCCTGGCATCCAATCACTTCCAAAGCCACTTTCGGCTGTGGCTCTGCTCCCTCCCAGCAGGAGCAGTGGATCTGAAGAATCAAATTGAGGACCTGTCTTCTTGGATAAAAGAAACTACAAAATTTCTCACCCTAGCATGTGTCCATGAGAGTGACTCATCCCTGAGAGTTAATTGGGACTAATTATGACCAACCTGACTTGTCGCATTAACAAAACATCTGTCATAACTTGCTTTCAGACGAGAGCTGCCCCCACCCTCTCCCCTCAAACTTACTTCTGAAGTTTTTAAAACATGGTGTGTGCCTTTCTCGAATGATTATTCAAAATGGAAGGGACTCTGGAATGCTTGAGTAGGGATTCCGCTCACAATTAACCCCTGGGAAAATGAGATTATGGTGGGGAGAGAAAACACGTCCTCCTTACCACATTATAAACGGAGACATCAGCAGTTAAGAAGGGTGATTACCTTTCCCCCTTCTATTTTATCTTCTTATTTATATGCGAAGCCTTTACCCAGGGCTCCCATTTGCCAAGGAGGCTGGATTTCTCGGGGGTTTTTATAGTGATGTTGCTCAGGGCTGCAGTGTTTCCAGCACTGTGGGGGAGATTCGGACAAAAGCACGAACACAAATTCAAGGCCTTTCCAGGGATTCCTCCGCCCTCAGCCTGCACTCAACGGTGGGAGTCATCTTTTATGTGCTTATATGGACTCCATCGCCCCACCTGAGATATCCTCGGAGAATTCCTTTCAGCTCATCCTCACCTTTCTCACCATTCTGTCTTGCAAGGTTTCTTTTTGGGGATTGCACACTGAACTGAGCAGAGGATATGTAAGATGTAATTTGGCCTGAATGGTTATCTTTAAACTAAAAATAGCAACTATTTGAACCAGGCTTTACATATAGTATCAAGTTTAATCTCCACACGATGTCCATTTTCAGGATGAGAAAGGTTTGATCATGTAAAGAGATTTGTTGCCATTAAATCTAGATAACATGGTTGGTAACAGAATTGGAATTCAAACCCACCTATTTCCATGGCTGCCTCTTAACAGATTACTACAAATACCAGC